TTCTTACTGTGGGCGGCTCCCAGGGGACCATGTCCAGCAAAGTTGTCTGAGCTATGTCTAAAACAAAAGTTCCCTGTCATGCCTGGGCGGTGTGAACTCAACTTCACTCCTTCAGGCATCTCTTCCCCGACCTTCTTTCCTCCCAGGTGTGTTCTACATATTTGCCACTGGGAGGATGAGGCCGTGCTGCACTCGGTACATGCTGGCACCTCCACCACCGCATTACCACGCGGGCAAACACACGCTCTGAAGCCACGGGCGTCAGATGCCAATGGTTCCACTAGGGGAAGGTCAGGCAAATGTTGAAAGACTTTTCGAACCACATAGAAGACCCGCTTCCATGCAGTTACTTTTGGAGGCTAAGGGTTAATGCCGATGATAATTTCCACTGTTCAAATATTTTGAGCTCCCAATTTGGGAACTGCCTTCCTGGTTAATTGATGAGTGACACTAATCATAGCACGCGGTGATTTCACTCAATCACCTGTTTTATTCACCAGGCCTGGATGTGTGCATATGACTTTCAGATGCACCTAAAACAACAACAACAGTAACACCAAGATCAAAGGTATCCTCTAGGTAAAAGTGTTTTGTCACCAATGAAGGTTCACTAATGACGGCAGACTAAGTGACACACGCAGCCGCCAGAGGCATTCTGAGCAGTGGACACCACCGCTGGACATTGTTCTTCCATGACAGACATCTTGACAGACAATGTATAAGATCCATTAGGATACTAGATGGCATATTGGTTTCAAAACAAAACAAAATAGAGCCAAGCATACGACATCTAATCACACTGTGGAAAATATGAGTTAATTCACATAGCCTAAATGGAGAGGATTATTCTTCTAGACACAGTGCAATTGGTTTGTTTTTAGGTCTTTTGGAAATGCCAAATCAAGTTTCCAGCTCCAAGAAGCCTCCACTGGTGACAATCTGTGAGTCCCCCTGCGGAGTGCCTATGCCCACACATTCGCCTCCATCAGGCGACAGCTGTTTCAGGAATTAGGGTGGAGGTCTCTGCCGCCTCTGTAGTCTTTTGATGAAGAATTCCCTATGGCAGCTGTCTAAGCAGAACGGGGACAAGGGACAAGATTATTTTCTCTGCCTTATTCTTATCCTCGATGGGACTGGCCCAACTAGAATTTCCTTGCCCCCTAATCGGCTTTATTTTAATCATTTGATTTTAAAAATATTTTAAACTCATTTTTTAATAAGCGGGGATGTTTTCTCCTTGCTTAAGTTAATTCTATATGCACATTTAGCCTGAACCCACAAAGAAACCAACCATCACCATCTTCCCACGTGTGGGCTTCATGTTACCTGGGTTGGGGGGAGACATGGCTGCTACCCAGTACCCCAACTGTGGGGCAATGTAGGTCCACGTCTGCTGGCTGCCCTCTTGATGCACGAGCCCCAGTCCACTCTTCAGCCACGTTCCTGTGGGATGCAGGAAAACACATCAACTAAACGCACACGTAATAGGATTGGAGACGCCACTTTACATGCAATGGTTCTAACAAGCGAAGCTGTTAGAACGAGCCAGGAGTCACCCAGGGACTGCATATGGCTTACTGCAGAGAATCTAAAAACTTTCTGTCACGGAGTTTTCCCAAAGAAATTATTTTCAACCACATTATCAAACATCCCTCCTTCCAAACACAGGCTATTTTAGCAGGAATCTTTGGGTTTCAGAAGGGGAACAACGGCCTGATAGTGGGTGGAAGTGGAAAGAAGGTGGGAGATCTAGCACTGATGACCCTTGACCCTTCAACAAATAAGCACATTTCCTATCCTCAATCATAGACTGACTGTGTCCAAATCACATAAGCCAAAACCAAACCCACTGCATGGAGTCGATCCTGGCTCCTAGCGATCCCAGGGGACAGAGCAGAACTGCCTCTGTGGGGGCTTCTGAGGCTGTCGGTCTTCATGGGAGTAGACAGCTCCATCTTTCTTTGAGACACTTAGGGATATTAAAAGTACAGATCCCTTGGTGCTACCTTTTCTAATTCTGATCCAGTAGGCGCGTCTCCAACTCTCACTGTCATCCAGTCAGCGCTGACTCACAGCCACCCCTGTGGGTCCCCGAGACCCTCGCTGTTCACAGCGGGAGGAGAAAGCCCAGTCTTTTACCCGCAGAGCTGCTGCTGCTGCTGCTGCTTTCCAACTGCTGACCGCAGGGATTGCAGCCCAACACGTCGCCACGACACCACCAGGGCTCCTGGTAAGCTTGTCTGGGTGTTTCTAGAAGCCTCCCAGCGGGTCTCGATGCTGGCAACAGGTTCTAAGTCTAGGTCTATGCTCCTTCTGATAGGCCGTTAACAAAAACTCATATTTAATAAGAAGTGACGACTAAGTGCCACATCGTCATGACACCCCCATGCTAGATACAGGCATACCTCGGAGATAAGCTGCAGGCTCCGCTCCTGACCACCACAAGAGAGCAGATACGGTGATAAAGCAAACCACATGAATGCTTTGGCTTTTCTGTGCATATAAAAGTGATGTTTATGCTCAACTGTATTTACTGTGCAATATGAAATGCAATATAAATATTTACTGTGCAGTTGGACACACTGCGAGAATTACCAAAGTGAGACACATCATCAGGAAGCGAGCACTCATGGTTGGCCGATGGCCCTGACACAGGGTGGCCAGAACTGTTAGGTTCGAGCTCCAGGCCAAGAAGGGGTGGTACCCCTAGGTGGGTGTTACAACTGGACTGGCCCATCTATGCCAGGTGAATTTGATTCAGCCAATGGGATCGACCAGTATTGCCACCACGCCTCCCAGCAAAGCCCCTGAAATGCCAGAGGTTTTGCTCTGGGCGCTCTTTCCCAGGGGCTCTGACCCACAGTTCAGCGCGTTGGGGCTACACAGCCCCATGAGATTGTGTTCCATTTACTGTAGAACCTGAAACTGCTGCTAACGCTCATAAAACTCACCTGGACCACAAACCAGCCTTCCGCGTGAATTCTTTCTCAGGCCAAGCCAAGGACTGAGGTCTCTCTCCCCCTCGGGAGAGCGGGAGAGCGGGAGCTAACAGAACCCTTTGAACCCTGGATCTTGCAGGACAATAACAAAGCCCAGGGCAATAAAACGAGGGGTCTGAACAGAACTCAGAACTCTCCCAACCTTGTCACTAGGCGAAGTTGAATCGCCCCAGAGGGTTTCCATGGCTGCAATCTTTACAGAGGCGATGTCCTCCCACGGGGTGGCTGCTGGGGCCCAACTGTTGGCCTTTCAGACAGCAGCAGCCCAGTGCTGAATCGTGTCGCCGCGGCTCCTTACACCCACTGCACCAAACCCCAACCAAACTCGCTGCCACTGAGTCGACGCTGACCCACAGCGCCACCGCCGTAGGACAGGGTAGAACTGCCCCTGTGAGTTTCAGAGACCGTAACTCTTTACTGAGTAGAAAGCCCTGACTTTCTCCCAAGGAGGGGGCCGGTGGTTTCGAATGACGGCCAGTACCTTGCTCACCGCAGCCCCAGGCATAACAACTATGTCTCCAGGGCTCACGAGGGCCACACAGAGGAGAGATGGGGACGCTGAAGACCCGTGAGGTGCATTAACTCCTCCAGGCCTGTTGGACCTCGGGGCCGGTACTCGCCTTCCTCTCTACGGTGCTGCATTTTCTAGCAAGCCCTCCCGACTCTTGATTCCTTTTTTACCTTGGCAAGGTTTCTATGAGCAGATCCGGTGAGGAAGATTACCTTGCCAACGATGCTGAGCCCCGAAATGCACGCCTCGTACCTGGACACCACTTCCCTGGCTCACCTGCAGAGAACCTTGTGTTAAGGCTGTCAGCAGGAGGTAAGGGAGAATGTTGGCTCAGCCCTCCTAGAGCATCCCACGCCCCCCCTGACAGGGCGCACCCAGCTGTCAGCCACACACACAGCAGGCATCCTCTGCGCTGGCTCCTGGCCAGCTGTGCAGAGCCAAGGCCACCCACATGCCTCAGAGCTCACTCTGGCAACCATCTATTCCTGACCCACCCAGGTGACCCCGTGGGTGACTCTGTGGCACTCAAGCACAATTAACTGTGCACCCTCAGGCCTCCAAATCCCGGCCTTTCCTTAGGTACACACATCACTAAGGTGGCGCTAGTAGATGGTTCCTGCGCTAGAAGCAAACAATTTCCTGCGCTAGAAGCAAACAATACCTGGGCTGCTGCTTGGGCCAGCCAGTTGCCATAGCAACAGTCAAATGCAATAGGAGGAAGGGTGCCAGTGGTAAAGTTGCACCTCCTTCCTCTGCTCAAACAGCCACAAAACAAAGGGGGAGGTGGCTGTTAGCATGGGCTGGCATCCTCTGACCCTCCCAGCAACAAGGCGGATCTCTTTGCCTCTAGGCAATTTCACTGCAAATTAGGAGGTTCCTTAAATAAGTGTGGGAGTAAGGATGCCCAATTTGGAGTCACTTCTCCACGAATACCAGCCAAAGACGGTTTAGAAACTTAATAGCATCACTTATCTCTGCCAGGCTCCCGAGGAAGTAAAAGCATGAAGACATTTGCTACATTAAGGAAAGAGATGTTTCTGGGTTGGGTAAAAGTAGCCCTGGTGACACAGCAGTGAGGCGCTCACTGCAAACCAACCCCACGGCCAGTGGTTTGAATTCTCCAGTCATTTCTCAGGAGAACAAATTCTGGGAGGCTCACAGATGAGGGGGAAGTACTTTCTCCTATTGGATTGCCATGAGTCAGAATCAACGGGAGGCAAATGGCTTAATGGGTTTGTGGTGGGTCTTTAAGTTTCCATCGAGGTGGAGAATGGGTTTCAGCAACTGCTTCTACTTTCCCTGATCCTTGGGATCCTCGGGCTCTTTAGCTCATGGCTTGTATTCCAGACAGTCAGGTCTCTGTCAGCCAGGAAGTCTCAGGCTGGCCCTTCTCCCAGATCAAGTTCTTGAACCACTGCTCTTCAGATGGAGGGGATACTAGGTTAGGCCAAACAGGTCCCAGAGGACAAGGGGTGGAAGCTGGCGTCCTAGTTCCTGCTGACTCATGAGTAAATGACCTAACGTATCTCTGTGTTACACTGCTTTCTACAACACAAGGATATGCAGTTGGAAACAGACTTTTAAACTTTAGTAAACTACGTTTGGGTCAAGTTCCCAATGTGTTGCCGGGAAGATGGAGATGTGCAGATCATTACCAGAAAACAAATCCTAGGTCCACCCCGGAGGGGTCTGGTGGTGCCCGTGGGAGCCAGAAGGGTCACTGAGAGAAGAAAATGCATGTGCTTGGGGAAATGTGTCCCGGGGTGGGTGGGAGGAGGCTTCCAGGAGAAGTTCAACTTGGATGAAGAGGCTGGGTTTTGCGCATGTAGGGAGGTGGAAGCAGAGAAAAAGGAGAGGAGGACGCTTTAGAGCAGGATTGGGGAATGTTGACCTTTGGGCGTGAACTCATCAGTCCCAACTAACATCACGGGCCTCACCACAGAGAAGCAGTCCCAGCCATCATACCTGGGTGAGCTAGTGAAACGGTTGACCAGTATGGCCCTCGAATGATGTTATAAAAATCCAAAGGGCCCTTGGCAGAAAACAGACTCCCCATCCCTGCTCGAGAGGAAGGGGCTAGTGTGCACGAAAGTATGGAAAGCCTGGTGGGTATGGAAGATAAACTGGGATTGACAGGAACAGGGGATGCAGGGCCAGTGGGCAGGGAGCAAGCGGACTGAGGGTGCTCCTACTTTAGGGTCTGCCTGGGAAGGACTTCAAATTCCATTAGCAAAGAGAAGATCCTGGGGATAGAAGCACAGATACAATGTGATCAGACCAGCTTGTTCTACTTGTTGCTCACCAGCAACCCAGCCTCAGTTCTGCCTTGGTCAGTCTCTCCCCTGTCCTCACAGCAAACACAGTCCTGTACTCCCAGGCGGTGACTTTCCCTGCAAGTTGTTGGCCAACCTCCCATAGTTCTTCCCTTTTCTGAAAAATCTATCCATCTTTTGAGAGTCCAGTTACAGCTTGTGTCTCTCCTGAGGCCCTGCAGTACTAAAAGGAGCGGTGAATTCGCTGCATTCTGAGGGCCTGTTTTTCTGAAGCAGCCACTGTCCAAAAGTACACGGATAGTTGACATTGTTTTAATTCAAGGTCTTCCTTCCTGTGCTAGACCACAAGCAGCGTGGAGGTTGGCTTCCTTCTGTCTTCTTCTCTGCACCTAGAAAGAGCCAGGCAGCAAGGGTGCAATAACGCTCAGGAAGGAACAAGGGGCCGGCCCAGGTATAACTGGAGGTCTCCTCTCACCTGGCGCATGAGAGGAAGAGTCTGAAATAGGAGGAGGAAGCGCAGTAGCTGCCTAATTGCTTCTAAGAACCTCTTTTGCTGAGAGGCCCAGCTGGATCATGCTTGGTGACCATCCCTAAAAATTTTGATCAAAGAGTCTAGGTAAAAATCCTGCTCAAAAAGAGGGCCTGTGTGTACCAAAATCA